GTGTGTGTGTGTGTGTGTGTGTGTGTGTGTGTGTGTGTGTGTGTGTGTGTGTGTGTGTGTGTGTGTGTGTGTGTGTGCGCCCGCTGCAGCTGTCATGTGCATCTGACATGTGGTTAATAAGGTGTCACCAATGTGTGTTTGAGATGGGATGCTTTATTCATTCACATCCAATAGCTTACATATTCAATTCATCTCCCAGAGAGACACACGGGGGGTGGGGTGGGGGTGGAGGGGGCAGATTGGGGTGGGTAAAGGCGAAAGAGATTCAGAAAGAATGATATGGGAGTGACTGAAGGGGGGTGGAGTGGGTAGGGTGGGGAGGTGGAAGGAAGAGCAAAGAGAAGAGAGGAGTTGGTGGAGAAAAGTTAAATGTAAATAGCTCATTATTCAAAGAATATCCATATCAGAATCAAGAATATGTGTGAATATGTAAACAGCAGAGCAGAGTCATGTTTATTATTCTGCATAGGAGATGTCAGAGCAGAGAGAAATAAGAAATCAAAGCAGGAACGAGCGCCATGAATATTAGATGGCGTACCTCAGATAAAGGTGCTCTTACACTCTCTGGCATAGAGGTTCAACTCTCTGTGTCACTTGACCCTAACCCTGCTATTGTGGGGCTAAAAATCACTAGATATAAACAGATTTTTATTTATTTATTGATGAGGATTATCAGGCAGTAATGGAAGGCGATCTTCAGGACATTGCTGATTTAGTAGGAAAACGTAAGTGGCTAATGTTTATTTATCATGAACATCTTTTTTTGATTGTGAGAAGGGAAAGAGGAATGAGATGAGAAACTCGCACAGCAGGAGATATGTGTCCGAACATGAAAGGAACCAATCTACATGTATGAAAATAGATTCAGGTTCAAGACGGTGCACTGAGAACGCTGTGTCTTTCATAACCAGCCAGTGTTTTTGGTTTTTTTTAACAATCAGTAGGAACGATACTGTTGGACGTTTGAGGAATTTTGGTGATTATGAATATTGATCTTGAATCTGGTCGTTAGAAAGATGTCACAATAAAATAATAAGGACTGCATGTATGAATGTGGGAGGAGAAGAGCCTCATGTTTATTTATTGGTAATATCAGATGTGAGAAGAGAACCAGAGAGAAATCAAAGAAACAGAGAATATGTTTATTTCACTTTTTGAAAAGTCTGCTTGTTGGATAATTGAGGCTCCTGCAGGACACTGACAACCATGAATATGGACAGTGTTGCTGCATTGCTAATATTTTCGCTCTGAATATTTTGATATTTAATATTTATTTATTGTGAAATTTAAGCTAGCAGGCGAACTGCTGGGAATGGGCTATTACTTGAGGAATCATCTATATAGATTATAGGAAAACGGGAAAAGGGAGAACTCATATGGATGTGCCAAAATATGATATACATAAAAAATAACCCAGGTTTCATCTTCAAAGCCGTAAAGTGGCTCACTGTAGGATGTGAAATTGCCCCACTAAGGTTACTCACAGGAATAGTCTATTGATATTTATAACATGTAGATGACAAAGATGTGCCATTATCATGTGGGGAGGCTGTCGGGATGAAAGAAAAGAATCACATTTCTTTAAACAGAGGTGTGTCTTGGGAGCTTGAGAGGTGTGACAGGGGATTCCAAGATATTTCTTATATGTACATTTCCGCCTCTCTTCCCTTTTGTTGAAATATAAAAGCATATGACGGCTAAGTTACTAGCTAACTACCAAGCCTATTTAGTAAACACAGGCTACATGGGTGTTGCTCAGACACAGATAACTGCTAACTGCTAAATATCATGCAATATAAACAACAGAGCTTCCATTAAAGAACCTAGAGCACAGACTCCTGGGGTGGGCTCTTTGTACACTTGAGCACACAGCTTGGACATCTACTCCAGTGACAGACTATCAAAGCCGACCTGTCCCTTAAAACCGCCCTCATAATACCTTTAACCATTTATACAGTTTTAATTTGTGGGGTTTAACTCAAGAGTTGCATCTTGGCCAAAATCCAGATGAATAAAATACGGTGACATTATATAGTGATTTGTTTATTATTCGTTTGTAAAACTTTAATAAGCGATCAATAGATACTTGGTTTTTAGAAAGAAGTACACGTCACTCACACAAGCTGTAGCTTCTCTCAAGATTACTTGCTGGTTTTCTCTCAATATAACAGTCAACTCAGCATCCCTGGGTCGCTTGCTTTTCCAAACAAATATACAAGATCTGATCAAATATCCAGAGGCCAGTTTTAAAATTCAGCATTACATATACATTTCCTTGTGTACCAAAACAGTACTAAGGTTCAATAGCCCAAAGCCCAAAATTTTAAGACCTGATGGATGGATGCTGGCAAGCAGAAGCTCTGCCTTTACAAGTTTTACTGTAGATAAACAGCACGAGAGGTATGAGAGAGTCTGACTGTGTGTTTGGGTGTGTATATGTATGTGCGTGTCACTTTTGGTTTGGTCAGAGGCGAGCTCTAATAAAGTCTTGCCCTCTGGTTCCTTTGGTGACAGAGTGCATCATCACCACACACATACATCACCATGCCAGCTTGCATTACACACAACCCATGGCCTAAAAATCTCCTGCAATATTACTGTCACACACACAAACACAAACATGTATCAGACTTATGTGCACACACAAGTTGCTTGAATTCCTGCAGTTGGTTTAAGCTATAGTGGTCCACCTCTAAAATGTCCCTTTTTCTCTTGTCGCCAGTCGCACACTCTTAAGTTAGACTGACAGGTGGAGCTTCAGGCATTATAGAAAACTATAGAAAACCAAAACTACTACCACTGGACTGTTGTTAATGCAGCTGAAATACACACACACTTGCACGCTCATGCACACTTCTGTAGTTCTGTAGGTCACATGACCTCCAGTGAGCTCCCTAGTGATGTCAGCAAAGGTTTGTGAAAGCTAAACTTTATTGACAAGGTTGCTGACGATGGAAAACAAAGGACATTCCTGGTGGGCTCCGGTCACCAATGAAAACTCTCTCTTTTTCCACTCCTTTCTTATATTAGTCTGACTGTCTCTGTCACCACATTACAAACCACAAAAGCACAGAACCTACCAAAACATCTTTCATAATAGCTTCTGATTGTTTGCTCTTTTCCATATCGGAAGAAAATGAATGACAATATAAAGAAATTAATCACAGAGGCAGTGTAGGTCAGAATCAGCATATACATTTGAAGCTTTCCCAGTGTTCATTTGTTTCCTTATTTTCATTTACATTCGACCCAAAAACCTGAGAACATGTGATTAATAATAAAAAAGATAGTGACAGCAATTCCACCGCAAAATATTGGAATAACACCATTGATGATTTGTTATATTTTTTAGGTCAGTTGCACAAATGACAAGTGATGGAACAAAACAAGGAGAAAATGTAAAGTTTGAGCTCGTTCCAGCTTTTGTTTTTTTTTCCTCTGGAGTCTCATAATGACCCAGTTACATTTCTTACTGTTTCATTTTTATGTGTATTATTTATTTGTTAGATATTCAGTAGATTTTAAGCAACATTCAAACACGCAAGCTAAAAAATAAATAAACCTACTGTTTTGTGCCCTTTAAAAATGCATCATTGTGAATCTGCTTTATTTCTTCATCTACTTATTTATCATCGGGTTGTTTACTTTGCTTATTTGATGGCATTGCGGGATGACATGCCGTTGACGTTGGTGGTTTTCTGAAGTAACTTCAACATTCATTATCTGGATTCAGCTTCATTGGCCTGCCTGTGCCTGTGTCTGCGTTTGCACGTGTGCGCGTGCTGTCAAACTTCAGTGTTTCATCTGTTGCTAAAGCGCTGCTTCCCCGTGCGCACCTCTCTGACAGCCACATTCAGTACACACAAAAATGACAACGCAGGCACACAAAGAAAAAAAAAAACAGGTGACAGTAATGTGAAATATAACTGTTAATGGAGCAACATACACCGTAACACACAGGCACACACATTTAATTTAGATAATACAGTACTTGCTTTGATATGATGTGATTGAAGCTGGTGGTGTGTCTGAGAAAGATAAAAATCTTTATGATTTACTGCATGCGAGACAGATCACAGTGCATGTGTGTGAGGAGAGTGATTAATTCATGCGTTGATCTGTGTGTGTGTGTGTGTGTGTGTGTGTGTGTGTGTAGATGTGTCAAGTAGATCAAACTTTGATGCACTGTGTTTAAAGGTTGTATGTGTTTTCAGCCTGTCAGTCACAGATGTGTGACAGTTATCTGGAATCTGGCTGGCCCTGAAACCATCGAGCATCCATCACATTATGTAAAAACACATCATTTATTCACCAAGCACTTTGTGGCCGTGTTACAGGGACATACGTCTAGTAAAACTACATACTGTGCATAATATTTAAAACTTAATTGCCGTTATTTAGTCAATTGTACTTTTTTTCTTATTTTACAGTATGAAATGATTCTGTAAGGTAATTAATCGTTACACCTAACAAAGGGGTAGTTCATGAGCTGAATGTTTGGGAAAATAAGCAAACTTAATAATGGTAACCAGATCCCCTTTGAGATGTCTCTAAATTTTTTCGGATGCTTATATAATGCATAGATTTCAGTCTGAATAAGGACTTGAATTCCAAAAGCCATCTGACAAGTAGAACAGAGTTTGGCCTCTAGGCTCTAATCGTCTTAGTCCTGCAGAAAACATTTGCACAGAGATATTGGGGAGTGATGGGCAAATATCAGTCCCCTAAGTCAGGGCCTGTTGGTGGCTGATGCTCGGGTGATGGTGATGCATAGCAAACAACCTTGTCAAAATAGAGGGAGAGATAGGAATGTTAGCAACTTATGTGCATTTTTTACTGGGAGGGTTCTTTTGGTAGATCGAATGGAAAGTGAGGGATGTCGCTTTCGTTTTCAGTATTGCATCTTGCCAGTACAAGCTTTGAGATTTAGATTATAGAACAAAAAAGCAGAGGGGGGAACTGGCAATTGCTCATGCTGTTGCTTTAACATAGTAGATTCACAGTCTTGTGGTAGCGAAGATGTTCTGTCATATTTGAATTAGCATGTTTTACACAAATTCTTTCTCATG